TGGCCCTCCAGAGGAACTGGCTGGCCCCTGTGAGAGACGGGAGGCTGGACCAGAGGGACCCTCCCTGGTCTGACCCAGCAGGGCTCTCCTGAGGTTCTTCTCAGGGGAAGGCCTCGGCCTCTCTGCCCTGTTGCTGGCCCTCCAGAGGAACTGGCTGGCCCCTGTGTGAGACGGGAGGCTGGACTAGATGGACCCTCCCTGGTCTGACCCAGCAGGGCTCTTCTGATGCTCTTATCAGGGGAAGGCCTTGGCCTCTCTGCCCTGTTGCTCTCCTGATGTTCATAACAGTCGTGGTCTGCTCCCTCCTCCAAGAGGAGGGGTCTCTGTGTAAGTGTGTGCTCACTATGGAGTGGCATGCTCAAGGAGGGGGTCAGAGAAGGCATCATGCCCATGGCCCACCCGACCTGGTGCCAAGGCTGGTGACATGAGGAGACTGTGTAGGCTAAGGAAACTACCCACTTCGGAGCCCCAGCCCCAGACCGAGGTGGGCATTTCAGGCCAGGGGTAGCAGAAGCGGAAGTGTGATGAGGGGGAGGTGTCTCCAGTGCAGCCCCCAGCAAACATCCTTCCTTGCTCCATGACCGTCAGAGATGCTCTGCGGGTGCTTCCAGACACACCAAATAACACTTCCAATGCACTTTGCAACTGGATTTCACTGTGTGACATGGCAACATCCATGTGCAAACGGTTGCTGGAGTGGATTGAAACTGCATTACTTTGCATGTGTAAAAGCGCTCTAAGAGGGAGTTCCAAGTCTGGAGCTTTTTTAGCCAGGGTGGCATGTCTGCTAGAGGGATGGACTAGGAACTGCGAGACCCAGGTTCAAATCTCCACTTGTGCCATGGAAGCATGCTGGGTGACCTTGGACCAGTTACACTCTCTCGGCCTAACCTACCTCACAGGGCTGTTGTGAGGAAAAACTGAGGAGAGGAGAATGTAAGCCTCTTTGAGTCCCCCTTGGGGAAAAAAGGCAGGGTAATATAGTAATTAATTAATTAATTAACGAATTAAGAGATTAGTCTCTTTGCCGGGTGCCTATTCATTTCTGGATCCTGTTCCAGGTGCTGAGGTTCACCTTTCAAGCCCCTCATGACCTTCTTATGGACCCAGGGACTGGCTCAGCAGGCAGAGGGTCCCAGGTTCAATCCCTGTCAACACCAGTTAGAGGGTCTGGCAGTGGGTGACATGAAAGACCTCCGCCTGAGACCCTGGAGAGCTGCTGCCAGTCTGAGTGGACAATACTGAGCGTGATGAACTGTGATGGTCTCATTCAGTAGAAGGCAGCTGCACAGGACCGCTTCTGCCTGTGCGTCCCCTTGGGGCGGCCAGGGCCACAGTCAGTGGGCGTGTCCTGCAGAGGCCTGGGCCCTTTTTCAGTGGCTGCTCCGTGCCCGTGGAATAGCCTCTCGGAAGAGAAGGGGGCTTTCCTACAAAACTGGGAAATGGAATTATTCCAGAGAGTTCAGGGGGCTGACAGAGTCTGTTCTTTCCAGTTGCCATCCTTCAGGTGAGGCCTGGAGATGTCCTGGAATTACAGCTCATTTCCAGACTACAGAGATCAGCTCCCCCTGGAGAAAAATGGCAGCTTTGGAGGGGGGACGCGATGGCCTTGTACCCAGCTGAGGTCCCTCCCGTTCCCCAAAGCCAGCTTTCCCCAAATCTCCAGGCATTTTTCACCTCGGAGTTGGCAACTGTGCAGCTGGTTCTTTTAGTGCCACTTGAAATGTCTTTTATATTTATTGGATTGTGTTGCTTGGTCGGTTCCTGCCTTGGGCAGGTTCGTAAATCTTTCAGCTAGATAAACAAAATCTGGCCGGCGGGAACAGGATGCTGGCCTGGATCGATCCTGTGGGGCTCTTCCTGCGTCCTCGCCCATGCCCAGCTCAGCTGTGTGTGTAAAGCGCTCGCTTATGCCAACCTCTCATGGGGTTTTCAAGGCAGCAGACATTCAGAGGTGGTTTGCCAATGCCTGCCTCTACATAGCAAGGTAAAAGGTTTCCCTTGCTCGAAAGCCAGTCGAATCCGACTCTAGGGGGCAGTGCTCATCTCCGATTCCAAGCTGAAGAGCCAGTGCTGTCCGAAGACGTTTTATAAGAACATAAGAGAACATAAGAGAAGCCAATGCTGGATCAGGCCAGTGGCTCATCTAATCCAACACTGTCACACAGTGGCCAGAAATACCAGGTGCCATCAGGAGGTCCAGCAGTGGGGCCAGGACACCAGAAGCCCTCCCACTGTTGCCCCCCCCAAGCACCAAGAAGACAGAGCATCACTTGCCCCAGAGTTCCTATCTATACCTTGTGGCTAATAGCCACTGATGGACCTCTGCTCCATATGCTTATCCAATTCCCTCTGGAAGCCGTCCATGCTTGTAGCCGTCGCCACTTCCTGTGGCAGTGAATTCCATGTGTGAATCACTCTGAAGAAGGACTTCCTTTTATCCCTTCTAACCCGACCACTCAGCCATCTCATGGAGTGCCCACATGGAGTTCTTATATTGTGAGAAAGGGAGAAAAGTCCTTCTTTCTCGACCTGCTCTATCCCAGGCATCATCTTGTAAACGTACAAATGGTCATGTGGCCAGCATGACTAAACGCTGAGGTGCAGAGAGCACTGTTCCCTTCCCACTGAAGCGGCACCTATTTATCCACTTGCAATTTATTGCTTTCGAACTGCTAGGTTGGCAGGAGCTGGGGCCACAGATGGGAGCTCCCTCTGTCACGCGGCACTTGGGTCTCGAACTCCCGAGCTACAGACCTGCCAATCTGCAGCTTTGGCATCTTAGCCTCTGAGCCACCATGCCCCTTGGTATTATTCCTGGGTGGCCTCCCCTCCAAATACTGACCGGGGCCAACCCTGCTTTGCTTCCTCTTCTGAGTTGACTCTGAGCTGACTTCGCGCTGAGTCGACTTGGTCCTCCCCGCCACCTTTTAAATCTGTCCTCCGCCCTTGGTTTGGCTTCTTCTCCCCCCCCCCAGCTGCCCCACCGCCTCTGAATGCCCCCGCCCTTTCCTGCCTGCTCCAGCGGCCCCCCTCTCTTAAAGCTTCTCGCAGGGCTCATCCCTGCTGCAGCTGCGTGTCAAATCAATCCGGTCTCGGCTTGCCAGGAAGCAGCAGGCAGATTGGAAATGGATGTTGCTCTGCCGGCAAGCGGGGCTGGGATCCAGGGCGGCACAGACCCCTTGCGCCTTCCCTTATGTGGGTGGGCGCATGTTTTTTCTCTGTGTCAGCCCGGTCCTGGTGACCCCCCCACCCCGGTGTGCACTCACAGGAAGGCTCCCGCAGCCACCGTTGCTAGCAGGGCCCACCTCTCATCGGTCTGATGCGTGCCCTGAAAAGTTCCCTCGGGTGCTGCGTGCCGTGACCCAGACAGCTTGCCCGAGCCACCCCTCCCCCGCTTGGCATTCCCAGGCACCAATCCTGTCCTCCTTTGCGAGCGCGGCTGCCTTTGGGTGTTATTGATTCTGTCTCCTGTTGCCAGGGAAACCCAGGATCCCACCCCCGGGATTTGGCAGGTGCACCATCCGCCAGCGCTCATCTCTGCTAAAAACTGTACCAGCCTCTCTCCCCCCCCAACATTTGCTGTTATTATTGGGAGCTGATGGCCGTCATTGATCGCTGGCAGGGCGAGTCTGGCCTGATGCGACAACGCTGCTCTGTCTGCCAGTTTTTCCGCCCGCCTGAAAGAGGATGGCTGTCCAAAGGTAGCAAATCCA